CCTAGACGCTGTATCTTTTGATAGCCGGGCTCCATCAGCTTTCTTCACCACATTTGCTCATGCACCTGCTTGGCTTCAGCGATAGTGTTGGGAAGGTAAGCATTATGGAATGCCAGTTTAATAGAACAAAGTATTCTTCCATTGAGGGAATACTTGAGTGGAGGCCCAGTGTCTATCTGCTATCTTAATACTAAGCCTATAAAATATATGAACATAAATCTATTTCCCCATACTCATATATAAATATATTTACATGTGTACATGCCTTTATTTAGACATCTATAAATGCCCTCTGCCTCTATTTCCTTTTACTTTCCTCTTGTCCCACTTTCATGCTCAGTCTTCATTTGGGTTACAGTAATTCCTCTCTGTTACATTACCCTTTATCACTCCCTACCAGGCCTCCTACATCCTCCTCACCCCCGATTTTGGATCACTTGTTGTTCCCTTGTCCCTGGGTTTGTTAACCACTTCCTTTCCCCCCTCCCATGTCCCCCCAGAACTGTCAGTCCCGTTGTTTTTTCCTCCAGATTGTTCATCCAGCCTATCTTATTTGGACAGACCTGCAGAGATAATAACATGCACAAAAACAAGACAGAGAAAAACCAAGCATCAAAAGAAAACAAAAGCAACAAAAAGCCAATGACAAAACAGAACAAAAACACAACACAACAACAACGAAAGAGAAAAGCTTGTAGTTAGTTGAAGGTCTGTTTTGTTGGCCTTTAGGAGTGTTTTGTGGTCTAATCTGATGGGGTACCGTGCCCTGGTCCCAAAGTCTATTTTTGGTATTCCCTGGGGACTTCGTTGCTCTGTTCTGTTGTATGCCCTTAGTGTTTTGCCTCGGTGTGGTGGGATCAGGTCGGGCACAATTCCCACACTGTGTCTTCAGATAGGGATGTAGTGTCTCATAGAGGGCTGGCCATATGGTCTTCTCTGTGGATTGGCTGCTCTGAGTGGGAATATCGTCGTCAAGGTTTGGTGGGCCAGGATGTGCTCCACTCTCTCTTCCTCCCCCTTCATTTGCTCCCATGTGCTCTGATCAGACATGGCCCTCTCCCTGAGCTGCAGCTTCAGTGCTGTCCTCTTAAATAAATTCCTCTGGGGGGAGAGTCATCTTTTTAAAGTTATTTTTCCTCTGGTTTATATGCTTTGGATCAAAGCCTTACATTGGATGTATATGTTGCCAGTATTTCCCCCAGATTGTGGCCTGTCTTTTTCTTTTCGGTATTTCTTGATGAAGGCCAGCCTGCCAGGCATTCTCTGATGGAGCCTCACAGGATGTTAATATTTTATATGAGACCACTGTGCCTCACCCAGGGTCACAGAGGTTTTTCTGCTAAGTTATCTTTTAGAGATTTCCTAGTCTGTGCTCCATTTTGAATTTACTTGTGTGCAACATGAGTGGTGTAGTTGTAGGTCGTGGTTCAGATGTGATTCTGTGTATGAATATGCAAGCATTCCAGCACCAATTTTTAAAATGATAACTGTCTGTCATTTCTGCCTCTTTGTGAACGGTTCTTTGGCCCCATATGTGTGGCCCTGTGTCTAGATTCTGCTGGGTATATAGATCCGTGTGTCTGGACTTCTCCAGTACCACAGTGTCTTGACTGCTGTAGCTTCTCAGTAAGTCTGGAAATCAGACCATCCAAGTCACACCTAGTCTTGTTCTTTCTTGCACAATTGTTTTAGTGCTTCTGAGTGCTTTGCTTTTCCATAAACATTTTGGGCTCCATTGGTCAATCTGTGTAAAAATTCTTGCTGATCCCTTTATTACCATCACATTGAGTATGTGGATTCGTTTGGGGAGATTAGCATCTTCACAATATCGATTCTTCCCATCCGTGACCACAGTTCACTTAGGATTCTGCCCCTCTTTTCATCACTTACTCCTAAGCATTTCATGTTCCTAATACTATTATAAATGGTACTTTTTAAAATTCACATTTCCAATTGCACTAAGTAAGGAGCGAAGTGTGTGAATCCCGTCTCTGTTGCCCTTTGTGTGGGATGAACAGCATGAATCCAGGTCCCAAATGGTGAAGCTGGGTCTAGTCCTCTCCATACTCTCCATCGTCCTCACCAGCTACCCAGGAACACCCATTCTCCCACCCTACTCACAACCAGAGTTAGGCCAGAGCTCCCAGGTTCTTCAGATTGTTGGCTCCCCCTGCCCCTTTGAGTTTAATAATTTGCTGAAACAACGTATGGCAGCATCCTTGCAGCTCTGAATTTAATAGCTCTGAAAATGCATACAAATAAGCGAAGTAGAGCTTGCACCCTGGGAGGGTTTCCATGGCATGCCTGGACCCTTCCAAGAACAGTTGTGCTTGCCACCCAGGCGACGCACCAAAGCCTTCGGGTTCCAGGTTGTTGGGCTCACACCTTGCCTCCCAAGGCTGTCAGCATGAGACCCCCTATGTGGTCCCTCTTTTTGGTCTGGTCAGCCCTCAGATGCGACCCAGCTCTCAGGAACAACGATCAAAGGCCACGTTACTCTCTGCACCTCACAGTTGGCTTTGGAATAAACCTGCTGAAGACTTAACCAGTAATCCTTTTGTAGATTTTTGTTGCTATTGTTGAGGTTTTCTATGTAGAAAATCATGTCATAGAATTACTTTTAGTTGAACATGAGAGGACATGAAAAGAGCTTTATAACGTGGGGAGGATTGCAATCAGTGTCACAAAACAAAAGTGTCCAAATTGCTGAATGGGAAACCTATTTGCCTCTGAACTTTCACCCAATTTCCAATTAAGTTAAGTACCACTTTGAACAACAGAGACAAGGTCATCCAAGATTCCTTTTTAATGTTCAATCTTGGTTGACAGACTAGTTCTATGTAGTTCAGTTATAACAAATTGTTGCTCTTGCTTTGTTTCGTTTAATGTTGGGACCGTTTCTTTGTGCGAAGGAAGCCTTGATAAGTTCATTTGAATACAGATGTACTCGCTGATGAGTCATTGGATGGATGTTAGGTGGTTTTCTGTTTTGTTCTGTACGCATTGCCGATAGTGGCTGTCTCCTGGCCTTTTCCGCCCTGTTTCCCTTTCCTGCTTCTCCGTCATTCCTCCTCTTTTCTCCCTTTTTTTTTTGTGTGTGTTCATAACACTCCTACATGGTCTTGTCTTTGGGAGAGGATCATGAGTTGGGATGCTCCTGGTCCCCAGGTGCCACACGTTGGAGAAAAAGGGAAGCCCACCGGGGAGCCTGGGTTGCTCCAGATAAAACCTGGAACAAGCCCCATTCCTCCCATGCCCAGGACTTGGGTGTTGATGGCTGCCAGCCTCCCTATCATATGACTCCAACTGCCTGCTCTTGAGCTGAAAAATACTGGTTGCAGACTTAATGCCCATTTCTGTGGCTGGAGCCTGAGTGACTGAATTCTGCCCTCTCTGGTCCATGTCCTGCTGACTGGCTGCAGTCGTGTGGCCAGGCTCTTGTCAGTGTCTGGCTGATGGCATTGTTCCTTTGTCTCCCCTCGGCCCTGCAGACGTTCAAGTTCCTGGCTGTCCGTGCCACCCTCGGCATCTGCACGGGCACTGGCGTCCCCTTCAAGAAGCTGAGCTCCACCGGGCGAGTAGGCCTGGCCTCTGCCAAGTGGGTGCACGGGGGTGGGGCCAGGGGCAGGGTAGTAGGGAAGACCAGGTGGCCAGCTTTGGTTCCCACTTGGACCTGTGGTTTGCTGGGCAGTGATGGCTGTTGGATGTCCCTGGGTAGTTCTCTAGTGCCTTCCTGGCCTGACTGGACTGGATCTGGGGGCAGGCGTGCACCTCTCTTGCCATCTAAGCCCTTGTTCTCTCAGCTTCAAGCCTGTCATCTCTCACACTGACTGCTCCCCTAAGCTGGTCTGCCTTGCCTCCTCCACACGCCTGTCCCGTGTCCCTTGGCAGAGAGAATGCAAACGGGAAACGGACTCCTTTTGGGAGGAGCCAGACTGGTTGGCTCCATATTACCACTCAGTTGTGCACTTTCTTTATTTTCCATGGCTTAATGTTTTTATCATGTGCTGGTGCGTGTGTGTGTGTGTGTGTGTGTGTGTGTGTGTGTCTGTCATAAATACAAAGGAGTTTCCTAAATGTCACGGGAAATTTTTACTCTAATCCATTTCCCCACACTTGATATGAGCACAAATTTGCAACCTAGACTGCTCTCTGGACAGCACTTCTCGAGCCTCTGGGCAATTGTTCTGCTTCTTTGCTCCACCACAGCACATGCCCACTACCCAGGGCCTTTGGGATCGGCACTCTTTCTGCCAAGATGGGCGTTTAAAGGCTAGAGTGGTTGGACAGTGCAGTGGGGTGCTCTCCCTACCCCCATGACTAGTGGATGATTTGGATTTCAGCATTGAGTGGGTTTAATACTAAGCTGCTTGTACTGTCGGCTCATCCTTGCCCTCCGATGAGGGCTTAGCTCATGCCTCAGGGGGCATGTCTAATTCTAGTCCTTTAAGGGTGGAATATGGGAGCCACATCTGGTAGCTATGAGCATTGGCACAATGGATCCAAGGGCTCCCTGAACAGCAGGTGCAGGTCAGAGCTGCAGAAGGCCGAGTGCTGCACCGCAGAGGTGGCGTCTCACCCTGGGTCGCTCAGTACTTCTGGGACCACTTGAGGCGAGCAGCAAGCTTCCTAGCCTGTGTCCTTTAGCCTCTGGTACCGTTGTGAGAGGATGTCAGTGAGGCGGCCAGGGCCTTTGGGTTATGAGCAGTTGTAAGCATAACTGACCTTTTGCTTTTTGCAGGCTATGGAACTTGGAACTCTGGGGCAAACAGAGGCAAGTGTCATTCCAGTGTGCTCTCTGCTTGCTTTTCTGTGCCCCTACCTGACCTGGTGGTGGGAGGGGGGCACCGGGGGGAGGGGGGGTTGTCCTGGGGCTGGTGGTCCCCCTTGTAGCAGGTCCTCACTAGAATGAATGGCTGGAGCCTATCCAGCCATGGGTGGTCAGGCTCCTCGACTCGTGTCTGTGACAGAAAACGTCCTTGTCTCTGTGTTTGTCCCTTATCGCTCTCCCTACTACAGGCTATGAGAACTATGGCTATGGCTATGGCTATGGCTACGGTCAGGAGAACACCAGCAACTATGGGTACGGGATGGCCACTTCCAACTCATGGGAAGTGCCTAGCTCTGACGCAAATGCAAACCCTAGTGCTGCGGGGAGTGCCAGTGCCGATTCCGTTTTATCCAAAGTTAACCAGCGCTTAGACATGGTGTCGCACATGGAGCAGGACATGATGCAAGGAGGCATGTACGGCTCGGGAGGAGAACGGTGAGTAGGAGCACATCCCACCTCCCTCCTGCTGCACCTCCTCTCTGGGCTTCCACAGCCACCTCCTCCCAGCGAGTGCTTTTCCTCCTGCAGGCCCCTGCTACTCTCCCCTCCCCGCCCTTGTCCTGCCTCCTCCCGAGAGCTGCCCTCTGCCAGCCATGCTGGGCCTCACTGTGCCCTAGGCTGACTCTGCAGGTTCTCCTTGCAGGTCAGGGTAGTGACCCCACTTTGGGAGATGCATCAGGACTGCTCTCCAGTCCTTGCACCCTGTGTGGTGTCCAGTGGAACAGAGGCTTTGGGGTGGGTGACAGTGAGCTGGGCTGCTCACTTAAAGGGCTGGGGCAGACGTAGGCACTTCACAGTTTATGAGAAGGACCCTGGGAGGGGTGCTATGACTCCCGTTGCTCAGAGGACACTAAGGCACAAGGAGGTCCCCAGCAGGTATAGAGGGTCCTCATGCTAGGTTGAGGAAAGGACTGCATTGATGGGGTCAAGTGAGGCCTGCAAACCCCCGGCTGGGGGAGACAGGACTGGCTTGCAGGGGCTCTAGAGCACCCACCCTACAGGCTGGGCACAAGGGGCTGGCACTGGCCCAGGCTGCATGGGCTCTGCCACGTTGAGGTGGTATGGTCTGGGGGGCAGTGACTCCAGGGGGAGGGGGTTGGGGCCAGAGCTATGCTGGAGCTTCCCCTATAGCTGCCCTGCCCTCTCTGTCTCTGTTTCCTGGTAGGAAGAGAGTTTGAGAGGACCCCTGGGGGACAAGCTAGCCCAGATCTCCCTTCAGTGTCTGTAAGGGGTAGGTGGTAGTTCTCAGGAGGCTTCTCCTTCCTGGGTGGAGGGTTTGCCTGACCCTGGGCTCCAGGGGCCATGATGATCCAGCCCAATTCTAGTCACTGGCAGGACTGTGGAGTCTTCCCTGGGACATGCTCCCCATTTTGTCTCGCTCTCTCCTGGGTGGTAAGGGGCTGGCCTGAGATTGCTGTTCCCCAGTCCCTTCAGTGCACACATCATCATGGTGCTGGGTGCCTGCCTGCCCCGAAATGTGCAAGTGCTCAGCTGCTCCCCATAGGGCCAGAAGCTGCCTTCAGCACCGCAGTGGGCAGGCCTTCCTCGGGGCCCCCACACTTGTGTCCGGCTACATTGGGGTGTGGGCAGTGGTGCTTTTCCTGCTTCTACAACTCTGCATCCTACCAGCCCAGGGGCCTTTGATGGGCATCTCTGAATGTGGCACCGTGGTGGGGTGGGGCAGCCAGGTTTTGTCCAGGCAGAAGGGCTTGTGGCGGGGAGGAGCAGGAAGCTGATGCTGGCCATGTGACTCTGCAGCTACGACTCCTACGAGGCCTGTGACTCCAGGGCCATGCTGAGCGAGCGCGACCTATACCGGTCAGGCTATGACTACGGCGAGCTGGACCCTGAGATGGACATGGCTTACGAGGGCCAGTATGACGCCTACCGAGACCAGTTCCGCATGCGTGGTGGCGACGCCTTTGGGCCACGGCCACAAGGCTGGGCCCGGGATGCTCGCAGTGGCCGACCAGTGGCCACCGGCTATGGGCGCATGTGGGAAGAGCCCATGGGAGCCCGGGGCCAGTGCATGCCGGGCACCCCCCGGCTGCCCTCCCTCTTCTCGCAGAACATCCTCCCTGAATACAGCATGTTCCAGGGTGTGCGAGGTGGGGGCGCCTTCCCCGGCGCCTCCTTCCCAGGAGGCTCCCGCTTTGGCTTCGGCTTTGGCAACGGCATGAAGCAGATGCGACGCACCTGGAAGACCTGGACGCCAGCCGACTTCCGGGTGAGTGAGGGGAGCACCCTGGCTCGGGGTGCAGATTGCAGCCAGAATCTCGCTGACTGGTCATGCCCTTTTCCCCATCTAGACTAAGAAGAAGAAGAGGAAGCAGCTGGGCAGTCCGGATGAGCCCGACAGCAAGGCCTCCAGGACAGACGGCTCTGACAACAGTGACTCTGACAATGGTAAGCACCTCCTCCCGCGCCCTGGCACCCCTTCTCCTGCAAGCTGTGGGCCAGGCTTATCTCCTCTCTCCTTCCAGATGAGGGCACTGAGGGCGAGGCTGGGGAGGCAGCCGATGGCTCAGAGCTCTTGGACAAGGGCTCCAGAGTGGTACGTGCTTGGGCCCCTCACTCTTTGATCTGGGAGTCTGGGTGGGCTGCCCCTGGCCCTGAGCAGGGTGGCCAGGGTGAGCAAGTGCCGTCCCTGTGTCCTGACTAAAGACTGGGGGGTGAGCCATCCCTGCAAGGGTGCTAGCAGGCTGGCACCTTACTCTTTGCCTCCTGACATTGCCTGCTAGGAAGGAGAGGATGAGGAGGGGAAGGAAGACGGCAAAGAGGATTCAGGTGAGTCTGGTGAGTAGGCTGGTGCTTGTCCTGGAGTGCGTCGGGGAGGGCCCAGCCGGGCAAGGGCTGGGGTAGAGTGTGGCTGCTGAGACCAATGTTGGGCTGGTGCGTGCTGGCCGGCTCCTCTACCTGTCCCAACTCCCCCCTCTTCCCTGCCCATCCTGCCACTCCCCGGCCACTGTTCTTTCCAGGCACAGGCCGTGGACAGCAGTGACCCCTACCTAGCACATGGGTTGTTGCCTGCAGTCAAGGGACAGGGCCCCAGGGACACCTGCAGTCTCTCAGTAACTTCAGCTTGCAAGTCCTCAGTGGCCGGGGTCTGAGCTGGGGCCCCAGTGCCGATCGCTGGCCGTGGTTGGTGGGCCCTTTCTCTCGGTGCCTCCCCAGCCCCTGCTGGGAGCCGTGTCCTCCCACCCGCGTGACGAGCACCAGCAGGTACCAAAAAAGCCAACCTCTGTCCACGGAGCCGCGGTGTCTGCAGGGAGTGGGCTGACGCCGGGACCCCAGTTGCAGCCTCTCTGTACCCCACCATGGGGCTCTTAACTTCAGCCACTGACCCCACCAATGCAGCCTGTCTTGCTCTGCTGAGTGTTGGTGGGGGTGGTCCTGGAGAGTAGTGGGCTTGGCATGTATCCCCTCCCCCATCCCCTCGCCTCCTTAGGGCCTCAGCCACAGCCACTCCCCACCCAAACCAAACCCACAGCCCCGGCGTGGTCAGAAACCCAACATAACCACTATTCTGGGCCTGCTGAGCCCAGGTGGTGACTGCGCCCTTCACTCCACAGGGGCCCTGACCTCCCAGGATGAGAGCAGCCAGGCCAAGCACAAGCTGCAGGCGGGCAAGAAAAGCCAGGACAAACAGAAGAAGCGACAGCGAGATCGCATGGTGGAAAGGTAACCAGCTCCCCCACATCGCCCTCTGCAGGCCGTTCCAGGAGAGCAGCTGTAGCTCTGCCACTGCTCCTCGGCCTGGCCTCCCTCGGGAGCACACCTGCTCGGCCGTGCATGGCCCCTGCTTCCCGCCAGGCCCAGCTCCCAAGGTCTGACTCTTCCCCTGCCCCTGTGCGGCCGCCTGGCGACCGCTGGAGTCTGTGGCCCAAGACCCGACACTGCTCGGCACCATTGCCCAGAAGCTCCGGCGCTAGCTCACTCGGCCCACGAGCCCCAAGGTGCACTGGGGGCCGATGCCCCTGAGGGAGGGGGCCAGCTCAACAGAGACTCAAGGTCCAAAGCGCTCATGCCGCCCCAGCTAGCTGCCAGGAGGCCGCCGCTGTGCCCAGGAGAGACGGCAGCCCCTGTGGGCTGTGGCAGCTGCGGGCCTGCCCTCTGCCCCGCTCGACGGCCAGGCCAGGCCAGGCTGTCTGTGGCTGAGTCCTTCACGCCCCTTGGTCGGGTCTGTCTGCCCTCAGGGCTCCCGCACTGGCGCTTGCCTCCTCCGCCTCAGACTCTTGCTCTTGCTGGACCTTCCTCAGCCTCGCCGGCGCCCGGCCCCTGGGCTCTCCAGACAAAGCTGACCCCGTGTGGCCCAGATAAGGACGTCCGGCAGAGGTAGGGACCTGCCCCGAGGCCTCGGTGGCGGCTGGCCTCCTCCGCCCCTTGCCACGGCAGCCTGCTCCAGCCCAGGCCCCAGACCCCGGGCTTCTGCTGTGGACACCAGGCCCAGACAGAGCACCTCGCCCAGGTGACTCCAGGCTGCCCCATGGCAGGCCAGGCGGGCGCCCTCCTCCCGCTCAGACTGGTCTCTTCTTGGAAGAGGAAGATGAGGCGGCCGGGGCCCAGGCCTGCTTCCCTCCCGTCCCTCCTGACACTACCCCTGAGCGTTCTGAGCAGAGGATGGGCAAGGCCTCTTGAGTCCCCCAGGCCCCCGAAGGAAGCTGCAGCACCTTTTTGGGCCCTGCCTCGGGACTGCGCACTCCACTCCGCACCTCAGGGCCACATGGCTGGGCCGAGTGCACGAGCTCCTGTCCAGCCTGGGCAGTGATGCCCTCCACAGCCGTCCATCAACGTACTGCCTGTTGCAGCAGTTGCTGCCTTGGGCCCAGCCCTTCTGCCTGTGGGAAGGAAGAGCTCCTCCCTGGCCCCACATGGCAGTTACTGCAGCTGTTCCATCCCTTTCTACTCCCTAGCCCCAGCCCCAGCCTGCCACCTGAGGGGCCACACCTCAAGAGGCCCGGGAACAGGGCCAGTCTTGGGGCCCGCAGCAGGGTTGGGTGAGGCGGTGGCACCACCCTCTGGGGCCCGCGCCTGCTCAGCGTCCATCTCCCTCCTGTGGCAGGATCCAGTTTGTGTGCTCTCTCTGCAAGTACCGGACCTTCTACGAGGATGAGATGGCCAGCCACCTGGACAGCAAGTTTCACAAGGAACATTTCAAGTTTGTTGGCACCAAGCTCCCAAAGCAGACAGCTGACTTCCTGCAGGTGAACCCTAGCGCAGCATGACTGCCCTGAGCTTCCTTGGGATCCCCAGTGGGAGAGCAGTCCCCACAATCCTTGGGTGTCCTCGGCAGGAGTACGTCACCAACAAGACCAAGAAGACAGAGGAGCTCCGGAAAACTGTGGAGGACCTTGATGGGCTGGTCCAGCAGATCTACCGCGACCAAGACCTGACCCAAGGTGAGCAGGCGGCAGGCACCCTGTCTGCAGGCAGGGACCACCGGTGTGCGGGGCTGGCTCTTGTCAGAGGCCCCTGGACCAGTGGACATGCCCTCTTCTTTCCCCCACAGAAATAGCCATGGAGCATTTTGTGAGAAAGGTGGAGGCAGCTCACTGTGCAGCCTGTGACCTCTTCATCCCCATGCAATTTGGGGTCATCCAGAAGCACCTTAAGACCATGGATCACAACCGGAACCGCAGGGTGAGTGAGAGCTCCCAGGGGTGACTTGGGAGGGGCTGGCGTTGCGGCCACTGCCTGCCCATGGGGAGCTGCAGTGGACACATTGGGGAAGCTGGAGGGCAGTGTACAGAAAGCAGCTTTCCCAGCCCAGTGCAGCAGTCAGTGGTGCTACAGAGAGGGACGGCTGCTGTGAGCGGTCTCTGAGGCTGTCCTAACTCATGGCGCCCCCATGTGGAACCAATGCAACATTGCCTGGTCCAGTTCCACCCTCACCCCGACAACCCCCCTGAGCAGATCCATCCCCATCCCCCACCACCCCCGAGCTGATTGTTTGAAGGTTGGTTTGTTGTAATCCATAGGGTTTTTTTCAGTAGTTGATTTTGAGTATAGACTGCCAGACCTTTTTATGTCAGTCATCTTAATCTGGGCATTCTGCTGAAATCTCAGCTTCATAACAGCATGCGGACTACCAGCAGATAAGTGGTAGCTGCGCATGACCAGGAATTGAACCTTGTTTAAGGCTCATCAGGCCCACCGCCTTGATCAAGTTAATTCCAATTCCTGGTGACCCTGCACAAGGCTCCCAAAGATGTAGATCTTTAAAAGAAAAGATAGTCTCACCTTTCTCCCTCAGCCATTGGCCTTGAACCACCGACTTGTGGTTAGCAGTCCAACGCTGCTTATCCAACAGCGCTACTAGGGCTCCTTTAAAGAACCATCAGGACGTGGGATATGGGAACCTCCATGTACATAGAAAGGCGCCCTCGTGGTGCAGCAGTTACACATTGGACTACTAACTGCAAGGTACACAGTTCAAAACCACCAGCTACGCCATGGGAGAGAGGGCTTTCTAATCCTGTAAATAGTTACAGTCTCAAAAAATAACAAAAACAGAAAAACCCAGTTATGAGTCTCAGAAATACACAGGGGCAGTTAGTTCAACCCTGTCCTATAGAGTCACGGCACCAACCCAGTAGCAGGGAGTCTTGAGTGAGATGTGCATAGAGGACAATGGCCAGACCAGGTTCAGACAGCAGACAGAAAGAAGGTTAGAGTGCAGGAGTTGGGGGTCAGGGGGGGAGTTGTACTTCACACACCAAGGAAGTGGGCTGGAGGGGTGGGCGCTTGCTACCATAGGCAGCAGAAATTGACTGGAAGAGGAACAGGAAGAGTTCACACCTGATGGGAATGGAGGCAAGGGGGTAACTGAGATAAGATACTCCACCTTGGTAATGGAGAGTAGGACCAAGTGGAAAAGTTTGTAGGGGAATAAGCCCCTTGCTCAGGTGTGAGTGATCAAGCAAGAACTGGAATGACTCCTATGTAAAGCATTTTAAGTTTATACTATATAGATGTGTACTATAAATATATAAATGCACGATATTTATAGGTCATAGTTCATGTTATAGGTCATGTTTTGTGCAGTAGCTTTTTAAATCAGTTAAGAGAGGAAAGGAAAGGAAAAATACACGTTTGTATTTTTAAAAGTTTATTATATACAGTCTTTTAAATTCTTGAAAAGCAATGTCTATTCTTAACTTGCTATAAGCATGCAGGAAGCAAAATGCACATAGAAAGAAAATAAATACTTGAAGGGCATTGGAAAGAAAGGTGCTGATTTATATCTGTATAATCAAAGGACCCTTGTGGTACAGTAGTTAAGCACCTGGCTGCTAACTGAAAGGTCCAAGGTTCAAAACCCTTCAGTCGCCCCACTCCTCAAGAGAAAGATGTGACGGTACACTGTGACATAATTCCATCGTTAATGGGGTGGAGGTGGAGATGGGTAGGTCCTGACATCACTGTCAGGAGTCACTTGCTTCCAACCTGGGGGACCGTAGGGCAAGTTGCCTAGCAGTGAAGTTTCTGGGGTTTTGTTTTTTAATCTAGGACTACTTTTATTTTGCTTTTCTTTAAAATGAGAGCTTTCCTGGCTATAGGAATTTGGGGTGTGGTTTTTGGCTTGATTTTTTTCTCCTTTGATCACTTTGAACATGTCATCATGCTGCCTTCTGGCTCTCTTGTTTCTGAACAGGAGTCTTGTGATGGTTCATTTTTCTCTTGCTGCACTCAAAATCCCTTGTCTTCTTGTCTTTGCAAGTAGTGTGTTTCTTGGTAGATCTCTTTGCATTTATCATAAAGTTTGTCAGATGTGAAGATTTGATTTTTCAGCAGATTTGGGGAAATTTTCAGCCATTATTTCCTGTAAGTACTTTTCAAAATGTTCTCTCCTCCTAGCGCTCTCGTTATACGGATGTTAGTGCCCCACTTTCCTGGGACTGTTCATTCTTCAAATTACATAATCTCTATCCCGTTCCCTTTGAAGTAGCTTATGTTCCTAGTTCGATCTGCTATTGACTCCCTCTAGTGGATTTTTCATGTTACAGTACTTTTAGCTCTAAGATAAATTTTTGTTCTTTCTTAACTCATTTTTATATCTTTATTGGTGTTCTATTTGATGCAACATTGTCACAATATGTAAGCTTGATTTTCTTTCAATTTCTGAACCTGTAGCTGGGATGAGACCTCTCAAGGCACCTTGGGCGCAGTTAGTGTACTGTGAAGGTATTTTGCTGCTGTTGCTGTTTTTCTTTCCTGATGTGGGTCAAAGACCCCTGGTAGTTTAGTGCACTTTTGCATTGGGCTGCTAATCTCTAGGCCAGCAGTTTGAACCCACCAGCCTGCTCTGCAGGAAAAAGATGAGGCTTTCTGCTTCAGTAAAGATATATAGCCTTAGAAACCCACAGGAATCTTTCTGTCTATAGGGTTGCTATGAGTCAGAATCAATTCAGTGGCCACAAGAGAGCAATCAAGAGGTGGTGTATGGGTCAGAGTTTCCTGTTCCTTGCAGGTATTGTAATTTTGTTTGCAAATGGGTATTTTTGAAAACCAGAAGGTGGAGACTTTGGGGACTGGCATTGTATAGTGAAGTCTCTCATATATACACACACACCCCACCACCACCCAGGTGGTTTTGAAGCCTTTGATGTTGCTCCAGAGAGGCTGAATCATTGGACAGGTACACAGTTGCCCTGAGGTGTCAACAGTTAGGGTAAGGCTCTCTTTGGCCCTATCCTTCACCTATAATTGCTTAGTGATTGGGCTGTTTCAGAAATGTCTGGGACAAAAATTGTTCTACAAACAGGTCCCACTAATTTTGAACTTTGTGGTGGGGATGGTGTTTCAGGTGACTATTTGAGATTTGTTTTGACCTCCAGGAAGCTCTTCTTGGCTCTCTGGTGTCCTGCTCTGCCTGGGAAACTCATTGGCCCATGGCTCCCTGGTGTCTCTGACAGATCTGTCTTTTGAAGTGCCTTTCATCCCACAGGCACCACGACTGCTTTAGGTGTTCCAGGGGCGTGGGGGTGGGGCTGCAGCCTCATGTTGGCTTCTCCCAGGGCAAGGTCTTCATTCTTTGAACTAGCCGAGCCTGTGGTGATCCTGAGCCCTAGTGTTCTCAGCATGTTGCCCCGAAGTGTAGAGCCTCGTCTCCTGAGAGCTGTGCAGAAGGGTCCCCCTCACCCCACTCCACCTTCACCTCCAGCTATGCTTTTCCAGACCTTAGTTCCTGGGATAGGTTATTTAGAGACCTGGTGGGAAGATACTGGAGCCCTCTGACCGGAGTCTGAGGGGAGAGAAAACCCTGCCTTTAGCTGCTCTCACGTTACCTGCAGGAGTTTCCATCATACTGAGAGGGGAGCAGGTCACGTTTCAAACCACGACTAGCTGTTGACCGTTGTCTTGATTAAATGTTTCCCAGGATGCCTTCCAGAGACTAAAAACTTGCTTTATTCTTCCCTTTGTATTGTTAAACGATACATGAGAAGGCACACATCACTGCAAGGGTTTTCTATATGTAGAGTTCCTATAGCACTGCTTTTATTCCTGAAGTTGTACTACCATTCTCACTTCATAAACTCGGGAGTTAAATGATCAACTGCTAACTCAAAGTTTGATGATTCAAACCCACCTGGAGGTGCCCAGAAACTAGACCTGGCAATCTGCTAGTGAAAGGTCACCACCTTATAACCCTGTGTGTGAAGTTCTACTCTGCACTCATAGGGCCGCAGCAAGTTGGACTCTACTCCACAGCAACTAACCCCAGCAAGCTTGAAGGCCCTCTTTCTCCTCCCTCCCTCTCCCCCCCCTCTCCCCCGCCCCATCCCCTTAGCCACAAGTAACCTTTGGCTTCTGTAGGTTTGCTTCTTTCTTTTTTTTTTTTTTTTAACATTTTATTAGGGACTCATACAACTGTTATCCCAATCCATACACACATCAATTGTGTAAAGCGCATTTGTACATCGTTTCTCAAAACATTTTCTCTCCATTTCTTATGTGAGGTCATAGTGTTTATCCTTTGTGCTTGGCTAATGTTGCTCAGTATGTTTTCAAGGCTGAGTAAAATGTTGCCATCTGTGCACACTACATTTTGCTTATTGATCTGTTGACGGGGCCCTTATGATGGGTGTTCAAGGATCACTGTTATACCCAAGCTAGGAGCAGGATATACTTCGTTGGCCAATGAGGGAAAGTTGGTGGTTCAGAAGTTCATTTGCATCTTGATTGTGAATCTTTTGTTTCTTAATGAATCTGCATGAAGTCTGCTAATGCTTTCCTTAAGTATGGAAACTGGGAAAAGCAAGTGGAGGTGTCATTTCAGACTGCCATTCTTTCTATGGACTTGCTCAGGGCTCAGTGGAGGGCATGGGGGTAGACGCTCCCCAGATCTCACAACCTCCCACCCCAAATCACTTGCTTTCTGGAATAGCTTTGTAACATAAATGACCTACCAAACGATGATGTAGATTTGCCCTTGTTCCCACCTCAGAGAAAGTCTGACAGCGGGGGTCCTACTCTATAGATGCTCTACTCTGCACTCCTCTGTCCTTGGCCTGTGGGAAGAGAAGTCCTGTGCGGTAGTCTTTTAAATGTATCCATTTAAAATAATGCAGTGGAGCCCTGATGGTATGGCGCTTATGAATTGGGCTGCAGTCCTCACGGTTGGCAGTTCGAAACCACCAGCTGCTCCTTGAGAGACAGAGCTCGGAAGCCCACAGGAGGGTGTCCCTATGAGTCGGCATGGACTCGATGGCAGTGAGTTAGAGAAGCTGCTGAAGGACAAGACGGTTCTCATTTCCCACCACCACAGTGTTTCTGTATGTTCCAAGTCCTAGGAGGAAATGAAGCCAAGATCAATGTTTGCTCTTGACAGTTTGTTCAGTGTAACAGAAAACTTTTAAGTGGTTGACAATCCCACCAAGAGAGAAGTGCTAATCTGACAGTTAAGTGGTTCACAACAAATGTAGAGGTGGTTGGTTCAAACCCATTCAGAAACACTTAAAAGCCTGGTGATCTGCTTGCGAAAGGTTACGGCCTTGAACAGGACGTTTTCGTCCGACACGCATGAGATCACCAGAAGTCAAAATTGACTGGCGGGCAGCTGGTCTGGTGTCTGGTACTGAACCTAAGGCTCCTGGCCCCTGACATAACTTCACTTTTAGTTAGTCTCCTGCTGCAGTGCAGTTGTAAATAGGTGTGGTTCCATTGCTCTAAATGGGCTGTGTTCACCGCTGCTTCCAACAGTCAGGGTGGGGGGTGCCCAAGCGGTGGGCCCTGCGGGTGGGGGTGGGCGTGGGCTCTGCGGCCTGAGCCAGCAGCAGGCCCTGCAGCCCACCCTGCTCTGCTCACAGCTCATGATGGAGCAGTCTAAGAAGTCCTCACTCATGGTGGCCCGCAGCATCCTCAACAACAAGCTCATCAGCAAGAAGCTGGAGCGCTACCTGAAGGTGAGCCGGGCCCCGCCCCGCCCTCGCCCCAGGCAGGTCACCCTGCGCGCTTTTACCACCACCTTCTCCCCCCGCCCGCCAGGGCGAGAACCCCTTCACCGACAGCCCCGAAGAGGACAAGGAGCAGGAGGAGGGCGAGCCGGGCGAAGGGGCTCCCGGAGAGGCCGCAGCCGAGGGGCCGCCGCAGCCACCGGTGCCCCCGGAGCCCGAGGCCGTCGGGCCGCCGCCGCCGCCGCCCCCAGAGGAGGAGGAGGAAGGCGTGCCGCTCTTGGGCGGGGCGCTGCAGCGCCAAATTCGCGGAATCCCGGGACTCGACGTAGAGGCTGATGAAGAGGAAGAGGGGGGCGGGAGCGCCCCTTGAGCGCGCGGGGCTAGTTCAGGTCGAGCCAATAAAGTGCTTTCCCTTCAGGCCCGCCTCTGTCCGCTCTGTGGTTCTCCGGGGCGGGAGCAGGTGTGGGCGCCGGGAGGGGTCAGCCAAGTGCAGGAATGCGCCTGCGCAGCGGGCTCCACTGTTTCCGGGACGCTGCTGACGTCGGCCCATACCAATCCTGAGGCGGCCTGGGATCTACGGAGGGCGGGCCCTCCGTGCAAGCAAGCCAATGGAAGCTCACCGGCGCAGTGACATACGCGCCTGGTCGCCCAGTAGCGAGCGGCGGGCGGTGCGATGAGCGCTGCAGCGGCCTAGAAAACGGGGCTGCGGGCGTGCCGAAGTGAAGACATGGAGCAGGGTTACGGAGGTGGGTGATTGTGGCATGGTGGGCAGGGAGGGCGGGCCGCCTCCGGCCCTGCAGCCACCGCTCTAGAGGCCGTGTGCCCGAGCCCCGGTGAGCGCGGTGCGGCGGCTGGGCCTGCGGGGAGGTGGCGGGGCGCGCGGCGCTCATTGGGCCTTGCAGCCGTCGCTCGCGGGCGCTGGGTGCGGATTGGCTGTCGGGCAGGCCTTCCGTTCCCCGCACAGCCCGGCTGTCGCGGCCTCCGCAAGATGGCGCTGGGGGCGGGGCCTGCAGGGGCCCGGCTGCACGTGTAAGGGGGGTGGCGGGGCTTTCCGGGGGCGGCCTGCGCGGACTGACCCGTGGCCCGGGCTCCCCCCGGGGGCTCGAGGGTTGAGTCCCCCAGCCCCGCCGGCTCCTAGCGGTGGAGCCTCTCCTTCCCCGAGCTCTTGGACCGAGACCCCACCGCTGGGCTTTTCGCGCCCGGAGCCGGAGCCGTTTCTCCCCCGCTTCCTGCCTGGTGGAGCCTCGTCGGCCAGGTCTAGGGCCCGAGCCCGGCCCCCACTCGGTGCGGCTCTGCCCGAGCGCTCCAGGTCGGGCAGGGTCCAGTCCCAGTTGTCGGACGGGCGGCCTCACCGGTCAGGGCCTCGGGCCCCTTAGCCGCCTGGGTTAACCGCAGTGTCCCTCGCGGGCCTGCTGAATGCCGGGGGGAGCGGGTCGGTGCTGGCGGGCACGCCGAGGCCGTGTGACCTTGGGTCAAGTCCCGGTCTCTGAATGTCACTCGCTGACGACAACTGCCTTGTTGCACACAGTTGGGAAGGGGAGCTCGGAAAATGCCTCCGTGGCAGATAGTACAGAGTTCCCTCGGCGACTTGCTGTGGACGAGCCCCGGAAGGGAAGGACTCAACCAAGAGCAGAGCTCGGGGTGATGAGTCTGGGGCGCGGGGCACAGAGGAGCATGGGGTGGTTAGAGCTAGCCCAGGGAGCCCACAGCCCCACGGTGGGAGTGAGAGCTGAGGGGCAGGGCACACAAACGGTGCCTCCCACGTCCCAGTTTCGCCCCAGGAGTTCCAGTAGTTCTCCCCGCAGCTAACGGGCGTTCCTTGGCCCAGCAAAGCAGGCAGAGGT